ATAGCAGTTACACATTATACAGGGTGTCCCAAAAAACATGGGAATTCAGTGACGAATTCGATATCGTCTTTGTTATGAATTAGCATTGTAATACCTAATTTCAAAAGCCATTATTATTATGTCTGCTAGAGTTTATTTAATGAAAAGGGTAAAAGACTGCAAAGATGTGTCTATAATGTCTCCCAAGATGAACAGTGAATTCGGACAAGTTTACTCTGTTTGTATACTGTAATTTTCTTGTTTTACTAAGTACAACCGGTTGCAGTCAAAACATAAACAAACAAAATGTAAACATAGCAGACGAAACTCTTACAGATTACAGCATTCTCAGTAGGTATCACTATACTTAATCAAAGAATTATCTGAAAAGACGATATCGAATTCGTCACTGAATTCCCATGTTTTTTGGGACACCCTGTACTATCCGAAGACCGTAGTGCCACAGAATTTCTTCTGGAGGGTTTAGTTAGGCTTAGGATTTACAACCCTGGTCGATCAAGAACTTCAGCTCCTTGATACCTCTGCAAACCTACATCCTTCGTACCAGAGACAAAAACCCTAATCAGCTATCACGATTAAACCACTGTTTCCAGGATAATTCACATTATAAAATTTTAATTCTCAGTTAAAATACAACTAAAATGGCCATCCTAGAGTTTGTTGAGAAGCAAATAATGATTTAAAAGTAATTTTCAATCATAACAAAATTATAAAACACCCTTTAGTTCGTGAAAACATTCATAAAATAAATTTTAAAAAACTTCAATTAAAACAAACAAAATGGGATTTTTATTAAAAACCTACTTTGAGAATGAGATTGAAGGAAGACGATTTTTCTTCTGATTCCTTCTGGTTATTAATGTATTTCATTGAATTCTCGTTAAAAATGTGTTCATATCAGAGTAAATAATAATGAGATTTCTGCAAAAACAACTGATTTTATAAAATCTGACAATCTGTCAAATGTCTTAATTTAATTGGATGAGTTTTCATTTTCTTACAGACAAATATGTTTTTATACAAATATTATTTTGTTAAATATCAAACCCTCAATATGAGAACATATTTTTAATATGTTTTTATACAAATATTATTTTGTTAAATATCAAACCCTCAATATGAGAACATATTTTTAATAATATTATTTTGTTAAATATCAAACCCTGAATGTGAGAACATATTTTTAATTTATCGTAATTGTAAACTTTGTATCTTTGTAATACTATTTGTAAGTTTTAAAAACTAGTTTGTTTGTTTTATTCTAATAATTATATAAAACTAATCTTCTTACAACAAATAGCTCTCAGGAGAACAGAGAGAAATTGTTTTCCTGAAACTAAAACACTAACATGGTCGATCAGTGTCAAAATAATGAATGTTTAATTTTTAAGTTTAAGAAGACATTCATTAGAAATTTATCTCTGTAAGTTTGTTGACCAAAAACTCGATTGATTGAACCCGAGCTGATCTAGCTGATCTAGCCCTGGTTAGTTCATGGGATATTCTTTGTAATTTTGAGCATCCATAAACCTTCCCTGGGGTCATGTGAGGTCCCACACAAAATTTGTGCCCGATCGGTTCCGCCGTTTTGACGTTTATTGGATACAAACAGACAGCAAACAAACAAGCAAAGTATACATCTAGATAGATGGGTAAGTCGAAATTAAGATGCTGAAAAACTTTTTACTTTAGATCGTATACAACCCACACCTATAGTAATGAAAAGTTACACCCAACTGACCCTGTACAGTGAGAACCAGAAAACTATAAATTAAACTTCGCTTTTACTTCTGAAGGATTTAAGTTAGAATTGTTTAACGGGAGTTTAATATGTCTCAAATTAATCTAAAAGAAGCTTTCCGCAACACTGCATACTCAGTTCAACTACTTTATATAGCCGGTTTTTCACTTTAACAAATATAAAGGATTTGATTCGGTATCCTGTAATAAATTGTAACAAATCTAAAGTATTTTGTAACAAATCTGAGGTGGATTTGAATTGGTATCCTGTAACAAATTTAAAGGAATTAAATTGGTATCCTGTAACAAATCTAAAGGATTTGGATTCGTATCCTGTAACAAATCTAAAGGATTTGGATTCGTATCCTGTAACAAATCTAAAGGATTTTAATTAGTATCCTGTAACAAATCTAAAGGATTTGAAATGGTATCCCGTAACAAATCTAAAGGATTTTAATTGGTATCCTGTAATAAATCTGAAGAATTTGAATTGATATTCTGTAACAAACCTAAAGGATTTGAATTGGTATCCTGTAACAAACCTAAAGGATTTGAATTGGTATTCTGAAACAAATCTAAAGGATTTGAATTGGTATCCTATATCAAATCTAAAGGATTTAAGAATTGGTATCCTGAAACAAATCTAAAGAATTTGAATTGGTATCTTTTAATAAATCTAAAGGATTTGAATTCGTATCATGTAACAAATCTAAAGGATTTTAATTGGTATCCTGTAACAAATCTAAAGGATTTGAATTGGTATCCTGTAACAAACCTAAATGATTTGAATTGGTATCTTGTAACAAATTTAGAAATTTTAATTGATATCCTGTAATAAATCTGAAGAATTTTAATTGGTATCCTGTTACAAATCTAAAGGATCGAATTGGTATCCTTATCAAATCTAAAGGAATTAAATTGGTATCCTGTAATAAATCTAAAGGATTTAAAAATTAGTATCCTGTGACAAATCTAAAGAATTTGAATTGATATCTTTTAACAAATCTAAAGGATTTGAATTCGTATTATGCAACAAATTTAAAGGAATTAAATTGGTATCCTGTAACAAATCTAAGGTGGATTTGAACTGGTATCCTATAACCAATTTAAAGGATTTGAATTAGTATCCTGTAACAAATTTAAAGGAATTAAATTGGTATCCTGTAACAAATCTAAAGGATTTGAATTGGTATATTTTAACAAATCTCTAAAGGATTTGAATTCGTATCATGTAACAAATCTAAAGGATTTGAATTGATATCTTGTAAAAAATCTAAAGAATTTGAATTAGTATCCTGTAAAAAATCTAAAAGATTTTAATTGGTATCCTGTAATAAATCTTAAGAATTTGAATTGGTATCCTGTAGCAAATCTAAAGGATTTGAATTGGTATCCCGTAACAAATCTAAAGGGGTTGAATTGGATTCCCGTAACAAATCTAAAGGGGTTGAATTGGTATCCTGAAACAACTCTAAAGGAATTGAACTCGTATCCTATAACAAATCTAAAGGATTTGAATTCGTATCCTATAGCAAATCTAAAGAATTTGAATTGGTATCCTGTAACAAATCTGAAGGATTTGAATTCGTATCGTAAATTTAAATATGTAAAAGGTTAAATTGAAACAATAATTTGCATTATTATCCTATATAAAAAATCGTCCGTGAATAAATAATTTGTTACCATAATAAAACTTCATGATGGGTTTTGTTACTGCGCGGAGAATGATATTGCAGGGCCCGGTGTGGGTTGAGAGGCGGGGACGGATAGAAGAATAAGGAGTAGAATACCCTACTCTACAGAGGCTAGTTTCAAGTCATTTCTCAGGGTGTCTAGAATCACTGGGATAAAGGTGGCTGAGAGAAATTGACACTTTTTTCACTTATGGTACAGAAACATCGCAGAGCTTTAAATACAGTTAATATTTATAGATATTGAGATTCTTTCGCAGTTTTCCCGCTATCATACTTTTATATATGTGAGTTTAAAAGGAAATTGATAATATTAAAATCAAAAAAAATAAGAACAATCCACGTGAATCAACTCTATGGAAGAACTTGGATAAGTTCAAAATTAATTGATTTATTATGGACTGACAGTCCGTGATTATCAACGGATTATTCAGAAAGAGAAATCTAGAATTTGTTTCGCATCATCAAAATAGATAAATCTTAACTTTTAATTATAATTGTATTATGCTAGTGTGATTTTTTCTTCTAATTTAAAGTTTTCTTTAAAAACTCCGTTCAGAAAAGAGTCACGTTTTTTGGAACCAACCTTTTAAGGGTTAGAAGGAACAGATTTGGATAAAAGATAAGAGTTTGCATGTATAACCATAATCAGAGTTAAATACAGGGGCGAGGAAGGAATTTGTCCAGGGGGGTGTTCAAGATTATTTTTTTTTTGGGGGGGGGGGTGGTAGCCACCGTTGAAGGCTGCATCTCCCTGGAAATTATAGTTTTCACTTCTTAAGGAGGAGGGGGGGGGGGGTCTATACCCCCACCTATATAATACAAAGACCAGATTTAAATCTAAACAATGACTGAGAGGGTGCTTGTTTTCAAATATTTTCCTTTCTTGGTTAAACATGAAGATTATAATTTGATAGTATTCTTACTAAAAAGGGTTGCCCACCTTTAAAATACAAAAACCAGTTTCAAATCTAGACAATGACTGAGAGGGTGCTTGTTTTCAAATATTTTCCTTTCTTGGTTAAACATGAAGATTATAATTTGATAGTATTCTTACTAAAAAGGATTGCCCCCTTCATGTACATTTGGGTAAAATCTGTATATAAGTTTTTTATTATGGAATATGGACATCCATATTTTTACCAAACTAAAACTCATTCGTGGCCATGCAATTACCAAATATTTTTAACTTTAACTCAATATTGTTTAATCTTTAGACTTAAAAGATTTGAACTCCTCGTTCTGAGGAAGGTTGTTTCTAAAAATATCGGGTGCCTCTAAAATATTCCCCATTAAAAAAATGGAAAAATTAGTCGAGATAGTTAAAAAATAATAAAAATACAATTATTTCTGATGTATATCATCAGGAAAATTAGTTTAAAATGATTTTTTCTCGGACCTTTTCTCGGACATCCTGTCGATTTATGAAAGGATGAGCGGATCCGCGCAGGTTCAGGTTTTAATTGCGGTCAGTCTAGCTCAGGGCGTCTTGTACTATAGCTCTGCAGGTGTTCAGTCATAAATGAAACCTTGAGTAGGGACCGTGATACACAATCAGTCCCAGCTTTCAAAATATATAATTATCAATGTTTCAGATTTCATCAGTGAAAAAATATCGTAAGACGATATTAAAAATGAAATATAAAAGTAATCTCCGTGAAATTCGACTCAGTGACAGAGTTTGAAATCTAGATTATTTGGTAAAATACTGAAATCATTTCAAGATTTGAGAACAATCGTATTTTAACAAATACCTTGGATTTTATAAGAAAAAAGTTCAAAATAAGATGAAGAGAGAAAAAAGAAGTAAATTTATGAAGATCGGACTCGATCTTTTCCTTTATACAATTAGTAAGTTTGCCCTCTACAATCATTTACATTTCAGATTCAAATAATCTTCTTATCTCAGTAATATAACCCAAATAAAGCCCCTCAACCCCCGCCCCCCTTTCACTGCTGCTGCAGCTTAATANCCCACCCCGAAAACGTGTTTACCTTTTCTGTTATCTTTACCAGACCTCTGCCTTTTCATCTTTTCCATTAAATTATCTAGACTTTGATTATATTAATGCCTGGTCCCCTTTCCCGTATCTATACTCGGCCACTATTAAGATATGGCTCCCCTACTCACATATATACTTGAATACTGTTAGTCCTAGTCCCCATGCTCCCTTACCTATATTAGGATACTATCTATAAGTCCAAGTCCCCATGCTTCCTTACCTATTAGGATACTATTTAGTCCTGGTCCCCATACTCCCACCTATACTAGGATACTATTTAGTCCTAGTCCCCATGCTCCCTTACCTATACTAGGATACTATTTAGTCCTAGTCCCCATGCTTCCTTACCTATACTAGGATACTATTAAGTCCTGGTCCCCATGCTCCCTTACCTATACTAGGATACTATTTAGTCCTAGTCCCCATGCTCCCTTACCTATACTAGGATACTATTTAGTCCTGGTCGCCTGCTCCTAACTATCCTCGGATGCTACTTAGTCCTTATTCCCCTACTCCTGCCTATACTTGGAAACTGTTTAGTCCTGGTTCTCCAACTCCTATCTATACTAGGATACTATTTAGTCCTGGTCCCCTACTCTTGTCTATAATCGGAATTTTTTAGTCCTGGTCCCACTTCTCCTATTTATACAAGGATACTGTTTAGTCCTGGTTCCCTTACTCCTATCTATACTAGAATACTATTCAGTCCTGGTCCCCCTAATCCTGTAATAAACAGTCGTAATAAACCATATTCGTATCTATGCACTGCGTGTTAAAGATTGTCTGCTAATTTCTGAGAAGACCTATAGGTCTACGTCGTTACTATATATTACGGCTAAACCTTATTACGCTTATCAACAGCTAAATGCGCTTGTAAATACGTAAAACTTATAATTTAACTGCGTGTGTAACCTGTAAATAAACGTCAGTTGGAAAATACTCCGCTTTGATTACGGCAAGAAAGTAATTTGTTTCCCCGTTTAGCGACAACGAGAGATGAACCTTGAGTTCAAGACTGAGTTGTATCAGTACTTTGTTTCCTCGTTTAGCGACAATGAGAGAGGAACCTTGAGTTCAAGATTGAGTTGTATCAGTACTTTGTTACCTCGTTTAGCGACAATGAGAGAGGAACCATGAGTTCAAGATTGAGTTGTACCAGTACTTTGTTACCTCGTTTAGCGACAACGAGAGAGGAACCTTGAGTTCAAGATTGAGTTGTATCTTGAGAAACAGATACCTAAGAATACAGATAGAGTCGTATCAGGATTGATATTGACTAGTGTATTATTGCGGAACCCTGAGTTCATGATTGAGTTTAATTTGGTTTCCTAGCTTAGAGACAACGAGAGAGGAACCTTGAGTTCGAGATTGAGTTGTATCTTGTAATACTAATAACTGAGAATACGGAAGGTTATTCCTGGATTGGTACGGATCTAGAGCTATTTAATGGAGTAGGGCAGTTACCACGATCCTATCTATACTAGGATATTATTTAGTTCTGATCCCCCTTCTCCTATCTATACTAGGATACTATTTAGTCCTGCCCCCCCCCTCCCTCAACTCCCGTCTATACTCGGATACTATTCAGTCCTAGTTCCCCTATACTCCTGTCTATACTTGGAAACTGTTTAATCCTGGTTTCCTTACTCCTATATATACTAGGATACTCTGATCCCCCTACTTCTATCAATACTCAGATATTATTAGGCTTGGTCCCCTACTCCTATTCCTGTCTATGCTCGGATACTATTCAGTCTTAGTTCTCCTACTCCTGTCTCTAAAAAGATACTATTTATAGCCTTGGTCCCCTTGCTTCCATCTAAACATGGATACTATTTAGTCCTGGTTCCTCTACTCCTGTCTATACTTGGATATCTACACCTGGAGACTGGATCCTTCAACTGCAATGATTCCTCCATAAATCTTCATTTTAGGAATATCCTTGCTAAATTTGCTGAAATAAAAAGTATAAGTAGTTTTATCAAAAGATGTATCATAGTCTGATAAGTTAGATGTTAATCATTTATCAAGATTGTAACTTCAAATAAGCTAGATCAATTATATTGCACGATGTAGATGGGAAGTAAAAAAGGAGGTAGAAAGAAGGAAAGGGGTGATTAGGAGACGAACAAAATTTTAAAATTATGTTGGAATAACGAAGTGATGGAGGGTTGCATGTAGGTTTCCAGCGAAAATTTTCTTTGTATTTCGCAACCCATTTTCGCGAAAATGAATTTTACGAAAGAAGCTGTTCTATCTATACTTCCAAAATATATCATATATATAAAACTAGAAATTCGCGCCCTTCTTTCTAGGCTTTTAGGGCGCTTCGCGCCCATCTTCTATTTAAATTGTGAACATGTTCTTTTTGTTTACATTTCAAAACAAAGATGAAAAAAGTTTTGCGGATTTAAAAAAAAAAATTCGCGGATTTTCGTTTTGACGTTTTGACGTTTATTGGATACAAACAGACAGACAGACAAACAGACAAACAGACAAGCCAAATTTATATATAGATTTATCTTTAAAAAGTTCTAAACTAAAACAAAAGCAAGGTTGGCTACATTATTCGACATGAGTTGTTTAGAAAATAACGTTATTGTTAGTTTACTTGTAGGAAAGGGTACCTAGAAATATTTTTTTGTCGCTAGATGATAAAAAACCGCAAATCAGACAAAAGTATAAAATCATATTTATTCATTATTTAGTGATAGGTTTATTCGATTCAAAACTTCAAGAATTTTGCATTGTAAGATTTTAGATACATATTATTTTATATAATTTGAGGGAAAAATATTATTTGTTTCTATTTCTGAAAAGTTACATATTTTTACTTAAAGAATTATTTAGACGAAAAACAAAGATGGTTTGTTTAATTTTTAAGCTCAGAAAATATCAAAGATATTATGAAACAGAGGGAACAGTGTCTCAAGGAAACATATTCTTACTTTCATCTTCCTTCCGATCATTGCCTTGGTAAGCAGATCTTTAAACATTGTTTATGTTAGTATATAGTTTCCTACTGAACTCTAACAAATCTCAAATTATAATATGTAACAAAATTTGTTGGAGCACTGGAGCCAAATTCTACTTAGTATTACAAGACTTAAAAACTTGATAAATGTATCATTTACTCTCAGACAAATTAGAATCAATGGAAATTTAAACCCCCGAGGAATTCAATGATAAACCCTTGGGGGTTTAAATTTCCATTGATTCTAATTTGTCTGAGAGTAAATGACATTCCTTATTAAAGAGGGGATTCAATGATAAACCCGAGGGCTTGCGGATTTTGCGGATTTTTTTTGCCTTTGTAGATTTTCAAAGTATCTTTCAATGAAAATATCCCGGAGGGATTAAATGAAAATTGTTGCATACCAAAAAACCAGCTTTTTATAAAGGAATGATAATTTTCGTTGGACAAAGTTTGAAGAAAAATGCAATTGAGTACTTTGGCTTTAGTGCTTTAACAAAGGAATTAAGTCTTTGCCACACACTCTGTTTTTGTAGAACTTCAGAACTCATAGAGATTTCAAACTACAAATTCATTTAGATCAAATAGTCAAAAAGTTTGAAATTGCATAGCTTTGCACAATTAGGAATTGGAAAGATTAAGGTATTAGATTTGAGTTTTTGCCCCAAAGACTCAATTCCTTTTGTTAGATGAAAATTTGACACTTATTAGAGTGTAGAGCCAGCCAGCTCACTGATCAGTTTATAATTTCATGCGAATTCCAAACAAGATGCAAACCAACCCTAACATTTCCTTTGTAATATTGAATAACCGAAAGTATTAACGTAATAACGAACATTTTTATTTAATTTGTGAACTATAGGTTTCTAACATAATATTTAGCAGGACCTAACTCAGTGTTAAGATTGTTAAGATAATTAAATCTTTATGAATACTTTTATTGCAAAGCGGAAAAATGTTTAGAAGAAAACTGAAATTCCTAAGTTTGCTTTGTTTGGGGTTGCTTATCTTGATGTCATGGCTAGGAAAGTCCAATTTAGAAATTCCAAAAATTCCGTTCATTTATTTTCTGATAAACAAAACACTTCAATTAATTTTATTGTTGAATTAAATCAATAACATTTAATTAAGAAAATATATTAAAATCTCTAAATTATAGTATAGCGAACAAAAATATGCGATTAAAGTGACAAAGATTTCTGAGTTTCCCAAGCATGGCGATTCTTCTTAAATACACAACAAATTTTGTATACTACCTCGGGAGTTGGAAACGAAACTTTTCCTCGAAAAAAGTTTTAAAAGTCTACCAACCCAAGTTGGAAGCTAATAACATTCCCCATGGCCCCAACGAGTTCCCTGAAATCAAAATTTAAGGCAAATCGGTTATGTGGTTCCTGGGTTATGATCTACACCCCAAACTAACCAGAGTGAGAAGCATTCGGTATTTTTTATTTGAAATGAAACGTGCTTTGGTCTATGATTCTACAATCTTTAAACTTACAGATTTGTTTATTTATACTTTTTCATTCAAAACGTATATACCGACAAAAAAATATTTAAGAAAAAAGGTTAAAAAATTATGTATAATGGGTCAAATTGTGATCGCCAGTTACAGCTTTCTGAAATTTTGACAGAACCGTTAAATCCACGTGTCTAACAAACAAACAAACAGAGATTAGTACTTTATATATTTATATTTGAAAATTATTGAGACACTAGTATTTACTGGACTATTTTAGTTGATAATGAAATAAATTAGTATTGGGACACAAATCCTTTTTAACAACAAACCTTAACAAGTTAACAACTAACCTTATAGTTACTAATCTCCTTAATCTTCAGGTTTATTTGACGGAATGGGTTCAGATATCAGCTCCGGAGTTACGTAGTCGTTGCAAGGAGTCAGGAAGGAGAACTCTTTTCATCTTCATAAGGTGGGAAACAATTCTTTTAGTATTGGAGTCTTGGAATAAATTACATATTTCTGAAGTACTTTCTGGGACTGAGACCCCTTCTAATAGAAGACCCCAAGATTTTCACCGTAAACAACCCTAACTTATAGAGACACCAGGATTTACATATTGTAATGGGGGAG